AATTTGGAGGTTACAACCTGTAGCTTTATTCTGATACGGTGAGAGTGTCCCTCTGATGGGCCAATTATTTCCATGTCAAAGGCTTGGCAATCTTCCTGGATCACATAGCACCATGACAGAAATGGAGGAGGACTTAAGTGACTCAGATGGAGAGGGAGGTGGAAAGGGTGGTGGAGGAGAAGGGAGCTGTAACCATATTTCTGGCCAACACCTTCCATGACTTTAGCAGCAAAATAATGCCCTAATTGACAGATGCATGTAAGAGCAGAAACAACTCTCAGACAGGCAGAGGGGAGGGAAGGGAAGGGGTAGTCTGTATCTCCTACCGTAGCCATCCACCTGTCCTCCAACCATAAGTACAGCCACTGTTCCATATAGTGCCTATGAGACACATCCATCAGAGATTATCCAGCAGATTCTTAGGAATCCAAATCTGAGAGGGAGGACAAGGATGGGGATGGGAATTAGCAGGGGGCCTGCAGGCTGGGGCAGTTACATGTGCATGTTATGATATAATCTAGTTCTTCACTTACTTTGCCCAAAGGGATGAAGAGTGCTGTAAGAAGAATTGATCTTTCTCTGTCTGGTGCCAATCACGTAGGGCTGCTATATCTGGGCAGCTAAAATCCGGGTGACCAATAGACAGCAGTCTAGAGACACAGAAAACTCTAATTGTTCGCTACTATCTCATAATGTTTGCAGCCCAGATATGGCAACACTATAATCATGGCTGCTCAGCTGATGTCTGACAAATACAATTATACCATTCAAATGTTCTAAGTAGGGAGTACTGGACATCCATAGGAATGACAGTCTTAGGGGATGTATTATAATGAACTCACTAAAGTGAATGCCTGCCCTGTGGTGCTAATGCCTGCAACATTTCATGAAGTACTTCCAAATTCTGGGCTTTTAACTTTGTCCAGCACTGTGCTTCCCTGGCTTTATGCATTTTTGCAGATACAGCACATTGTGTATTTGTGTGTCTGTCCTGCTATGATCTATCCCCTTTAAGTCTATATCATTTTAATTCCAACTCTTGAAGACTTGATGCTCCCAGACCAACCAGCCCAGCCTTTAAGGGAATAATAGGAATTTCAAAGGACTGTAAAGGCTCAAGTAGAAATGTAAATGAATTCAACAATGGCTAGTCCAAGGCATTGTCACTCTCTCTCTGTCTCTCTACTGTGTTTATTTCCCTTCTCATCTCCTCCTTCCCTTTGGCCAAGAACTCACTGGCTTGAAAGCTGAGAGCCGTGGGACAGTCTGACTCCAGATGGATCATTTGCTTAAGTTGACCATAAAATTGTGTCTGTTCCAAAGGACGCCGTTGTGTCGCCCGGAGGCAGCCGAGCCCATTCCAGCTGTTTGGCAAGGGGATGGAGTGGCCATGCGAGAAGCCAAGGCAGGCCTCCCCAGAGAGTAGCCATGCTTCAAATTCTTCCTTGAAGCCTGTGGCATGAATATGCCCTCTGAAAAGAGCAATTGGTATTACCACAGACTGAGAAAGAGCTCTTGCCGCTTTGATAGGATAATCGTTTGAATAGTTCCTTCTTTCCTGTAGCGGGCATTGCTCTGCAGTAAAGGCTCTGGGAAAACGCCAAGGCCTCCCAGCTTCCTCCGTTGGTGGTTTGGGGCTCAGTGTCTGCAGCCTGCCCAGGGCTCTGACCAGAAATGGCTTCCGTCATTTGAACAGAAGAATAAAGGGTCATTATAGTCAGCCCTGACGTGGTCTAGGCTGAGTTAAGGTAGTGGAGGATTTTGCCAATTTGCTGTGCTAAAAGAAAGCAAACAAACCAAGACAGAGTTCTTACACAAAAGATGATGTAACCTTGCATATGTCTTTTTATTTACATCTTATATGTTCTTATAGAACTTGGTCTTGCTTTCATAGTAGGCTTTGGAAATGGTAGGTTTCTCCCATCTTCAGAGAAGTTGCTGTGAGTTCTTCCTCGATAGGGTGCTGCTGTCTGTTTTAATTATGAAGGTCCCACTGCCCAGGGTGAACCAGGAAAACTTTATTTTTTATTATATCCTGTTGAGTTTTTAACTTATGAGGGCACACCTGAGTCCTGGATCTTGCTCCCATCTGGTATCCACGGGGTAAGCCTAACAGCAAGGAAAAAAAAAAATAATCCCAAATATAATTTAACACTGCTCATAAACCTAGACCTTATTCTAGAGTGACCAGGAACTCTTCTTTGTTATGCTGGGTGGTACTATTAAAATCTCTCACAGTTCAGAGCTTTATTAACCCTCACACATACCTGCCACCAAATCAAAATAGACAGTTATTTCAATATGTCCCCCCCCCTTTTCCAGACATCTTTACTGTTTAATAAACCAAAGCAGTGTTTTCCAGTCTGCAAACTTCCAGCTATGTGGACTTCAACTTCCAGAATTCCCCTGCCAGGATGACCTTTGCTAAGAATTCTGGGAGTTGGAAGTCCATAATATGGCTGTTACTAGAGTTGGAAAAACTGCCCTAAAGAGGTAGTTTTATACAGGTCCAAACCAAATCAGAAATCCACATGACAGTTTATGTTCAGCTCATTTTATTTACTGTATACCAAAGGTAAAGAATGATTTACAGCCCACTTCTATGAAAGGCTTCAAGGCCACATTACAATTTTGATGCAATCAAAATCATGATCATCACAACACTTCCAAAATAACCAAGGCCATCAGTTGCATAGATTTATCCCTATATGCACACTTAGAAGTTAGCAAGGGCGACAATTGAAAATGCTGATGCTTTACATGCTGACTCAAAAGTGAGTCTCAACTGAGACAGTCAGCGTGGCTTATCCCCAGCAAGCACATTTAAGATTGCAGCTTCCTTAAAGAGAATTAAATAATAAACTTCCCCCTCAAAAAACACAGCACCAGGTTCTAGCTGGTCTTTTTACTGGTCAGTATAAAATTGTATCTGAAACATTTTGGGGTTAAATTGCTATTTGCACAATGCAATCCTATGCGGTGGGGCTTCAGATTGCAGCATTCTTAAATACAAGTAGAAGCAGCTTTACAATGGCTTCTGAAAAATACGAAAACAAAATTTTGCTCCATCCCCCCAACCACTGGCTTATCATATAATCAAATTATGATCAGGAAAATCATATTTATAATGTGCATCCCATGTTGCATGCATGTCTTTACCAAAAATACTAGGCTCACTCCAAATTGTTCCAGGAATAAGTCTGAGATGCAAAGTCCAAGATGCAAAGAGGTGATCGGGCCATAAACTGCAATTAGCCTTGACTGGCTTGTCTTTGCCCTTAATTGGCAAATTAAATTGGCTGCAAAAAAGAGCAGGCTCCTGGCCATAAAATAACCATTAAGCGAGCATACCCAGAAGCCCCATAGAGGAGACAACCAAGCAGAGTAAAATCAGAAAGAATATGGAGTTCTTCAAATACACTATGGTGATTGTTTTTAGCTATTTGGGGATTGAGATTTTTTTTTTGAGGGCGGGGTTCTGTTGTGGGATTATACTCTGAAAAATGTGGGAGTCCTGGGAAATTTGTGACATTTGGTAGATATGCCACTACCATCGCCTTCAACATCCAACATCCTCTTCCCCTTTCCTTCCTGGCAAGGAGAGAGAATTTTAATCCCTCCCCCGCTCCCTTGGAGTAAGGCACAGGTTCTTAGTTCAGCTCTTTTCAGCCAAGCAGGTGAGGGTACCTGCAGGGGTGAGGAGCTGGTCTGGAAATCTTGCTTCTTCTCCAGCTGCGGTGTGTTCATCAGAGCCATGGGGATCTAATTATGCAATTCCAAGAGATGTCCTCCTCCAGCCTTTCCTCAAACACAACAGGAAACAATTGATTATTCAGCAATAGGGCTGATCACAGATGTATTTATTTACCAGTACTGTCTTGGTTAAGAGGCTTAGGTTGGAGATTATGTATTAATTGGGCACCAGGCACTTAAATTGAATACCATTCCTAGTATTGTGGGCATCACTTTAGCTGGCAGAGAAACAAGGCAAATTAATGTGCATTCAGTGACAATTTGCAGTGGTTTTCCCTGCCTTTACTCCAACAATAAGTCATTTCTCCTGCTGTCCATATTTAAGGCTAACTTCTGGGCTGCAAAGATTCTGATGACCACTAGATAATGGCACAGAGTTGTTTTCTGTGTGTCTTTGCTCTCATCTAGTGGCTGCCTGGATTATAATAGCCCAGATCTGGTAGTCCTATCTAGTAGAAATGAAGAGGTATCCTACCAATATAAACAGCTGTTGAAATTGTGTAAGATTCTTGCATGGTTTGAATGAAAGTGAGTGAGATTCTTATATGGTTTTGATGATCTTGTGCTAATTAGCACTGTAATGCCATGCAGGACTTATAATTGCGGCCACCTCCAGAAAAAAAGATTCAAGGAAGACTGCTCAGAAAAGTCTTGAATTGAAATCAAATCTGAGTACAAAAATGGGCAGACGCATAGAAAACTGATGATCTTTTATGCTCCATCACTAGGCGGCAGCAAGAGTAACACTTTCTGAAATAAAAGCCAATATTTCAGGTACCATATCTCATACATTTGCAGGTTCTGCTGAGATACTAAAAGTGGAGTTGCTTGGTTTTCATGGTGTGTGGAGTGATTGTGACTGAAGATGGTGTATATAACAAAGAGATGCCTTTTGTCTGTGCCTTCTGAAAGTTGCTTTCTTTATTGTGTATTGAAAGAATTTGACTAATTTGGCACATTGAAGGTTGATTGTGGAGAAAAACTACCAATGAGCAATTAACTGCCTGCATTCCCAAATTATGAAAATCATTGAAAACTCCACACAGATAAACATCTGTCTGTAAATCTGACTACAACTTCATTTACTGTACTTTTCCTATTTCTGCAGTGTGTCAATCATTCCCTTTTTCATGAACCCCACAGTCCTTGATTTATCTCTAAATAATGATTGCTTGCTGGAACTGGCCTTGCAAGTAATACACTACAGCTGAGGATTGTTTTTCAACTGTGTGACTCTTGAATAAAGCTGAGGCATCAGCTCCTGAAGTTCAAAGGTATCTGGGCTTATTGTTTCTGTTGTTCTTTATCAATAGATTTCCAGCTTCTGTGGTCTATTGCCATTCATTTGAAGAAGGCAGATTTCGCAACAGCATCCTCAGCAGGGAAACTCAATTTCTTTTCTTTTTCTTATGATATCTAGCATGCTTTTGCTAAGTTGTTGCTGCTTCAAGTTGAGAAGATAACATGGACTATAGAAGGTATTGCAGGTATTTGTTGTAAGTTGCTCTCGGTTTGTATGACTTTGTTCAGTCTCCAGAAATACATGCAACACATCAGCCTAGTTGACTTCTAACGCGATAAGTATATTTAAGGAAAATTCCAAGTTCTTGGTTGGTATTTCTTGTTTGAGTGGGAATGAAGCTTGCCATTAACCAGTTTGAAGAGACAGTGATAGCATCCAATAGCATCCACACACAGAATAGACAGGAATTCTGATGCCCTATGTTTGATAACCAAATCCCCATTAGACATGACAGTATATACTAGTACACTTGAAGATTTCTGTCAAATATTAATTGTTGCATTTTCAAGTTGTGTGCAAGAAGGTGGCCATAACAGAATCACTGTGAGAGGCACATTGCTTCCCAGATGTTTCCCCCTGTCATAACTAGCAAAAACAAGTATTATTGTCCCAACTTACATTTGACTATTCCAGCTTTATGAAGCCTTCAAATATATTCCCCAATTGACAAAACTTGTACCTGATTTGTTTTTAATAAGCGCGCTATGTGGGAAGTAACCCCAAATATATGGACATTTTCTACATATGAATCTTAGACATAGGGAAGGACAACAGAATAAGCCTCACTAGCAATCATCTCTCTTCTTCTAAGAGTGACAGAACCTTAAAGGATGGAGCTTGGGGTAGGGAACTGATTGGAGGACATAATTTGCACTCTCCTACTGGTTAGCTGGTGGCGGACCAGAGAGTCATTGGCCTTTTGAAATTGGCAGAAGCGAAGATGATTGCAGGATGGGAGACTCAAAGCACTGGTGGGATGGAGAAGCGCTCTCTCTCTCTCATATAAAAGAGATTTAGGGCCAAAATGCTGGATCCTGATATGGTGTAGAATGTATGCTAAAGGAATAGCTATGGCAAATGTATCATTTAAAAGCTGCAAGAGTTTTATTTTAGAATGCACAATTATTCATCAAGAGCTATTCTTGATTCTTGCAATTCTTTTTAGACTTAACCTTGAATGTATCCAGAGACAGTCCCTTAAATCTGCGTGAATGTTACTTCTAAACTCCCCATCTAATGAAGCCTGAATGTTGCCCCTGCTATTTCATGTGATTTGGAGTGAAATAGAGCACATACTTTGTCTGTGGCAAGAAATGAAAGCCCTGGCCCCTTAAATATTGCCTGGAGATCTGGTTCTCTGGCAGAACTCCACCATACAAGGGAAGATCTTTAGCGTGCAACTTTTGGGCTAGGGCCTGCAACACTGGTTTCATATGACCTTTTCCCCGGTACTTGGGAAGGGCATAGCCATGTGTCAGAGAACCAATTGCATCACTTAGGCTCCAGGCAACCACCTGGCCTTCCTCATCTAGAAGACAAGCATTCGGGAAGTCATCAATCAGGCTCCTCATATAGCGCAGGCTCCGATCGTTGCCTCCAAAGGGCCAGGTTTCATCAAGCAGGGGTGCATGGGATGGCCTGAGCGTCCCCAGGCGGTGGGGACCATTTCTGAGCCTGAAGGGAAAGCACAGGTGGTAGTGAAGGTGGATCAAGAGGATCGCTTCCACCCGTACTAGAAAAAAATCTTTGCTTAGATCCAGCAAGACTAAACATCCAGTAGGACGTTCCAAGAGAAACCATGATCCCAGAATAACTCAGTATTGGAAATACATAAATCTCATTTATTTTGAAATATCCCCTTAACAGTTTTTTGAAACTACAGGAATCAACTTTGGGATACTTTTTTTGTTGTTGCTCTTAAAATCTCCTTCATATTTTCAATGCCATTTCTTTTGGAGAAGCCAAAGGAGCAATTGCATTCAGTGACTTCTTCCAACTCTAACCACTGCTCTGTATTGAATATTGTCCATTCCACACCTTCAACTGAGCAGACAATGCTAAATTCTGCACTGTAACCACAGGGGGAGTATTTGTAAACCTTTCTGTCTTTGGCAAATAGGGGACAACATACTCCTACTTTTCTACAGAGGATAGGATTGGTTAAAGAATTGCCAGAGACCTTGGTTTCATTACTGAATTCCACAAAGTTGCATGGAATCGAATCCACTTAACAGTTCCCCCAAGAGAGCTCACTCAGAAGGAGAGTATGTTCACTTACTGTTTCTGACATAACATGGCTGGCTCCGGGTGGAGCGCTGCCTGGTAGAAATAGGGCTCCAAATGGACATGTCTAGCTTGTGCCATGACTTTTGCAGCCTGATAGAGCCCATCTTGGAGACCTGCATAGAATGGAAATGTTACAGGACTGGATTATCTGGCATGACTATAAAATCACAACAGACCACAAAGACCTTTCATGATACACACCTTTCTTGAGCTTAAAGGACAAATGGAAGTCTTACAGGTTCCTCTGGGGACTTCATGCAGGGGTTGAAGGGGAAGGTGAACACATCCAGGGCTACTCAATCCTATGCATTATTTGATTTTCTCCTATGTTATCCAATCAGAAAAAAAAAGACATTGCTTCCAAGGAACACTGAGAATAGGGTTTGTATCTTTCATAAGGCAATGTGACTGATGCTTTGATTAGTAATGTCACTGGAATGATTGTTCCACAGAGGTAGAATGCCTTTCTATTTATTTTTGCAAAATTAGTGATAAACTAATTAAACAACTTGGTTCCTTTCTTAATGATTTAATCTGTTCATAAAGTATTGGTTGAGAAGATTATCTAAATATACTGCACAATTCTGCTTGCATAGACACCATTAAACTCAATGGATGCCACAAGTTCAGTAGTCAGTTTCAAGGTTCCATCGCACGTTAAACGAAATGTAAAGAAGTTTGAACTTTTTCCTGCCATGATTCTCCTGTTTTAAATATTAATTGCAAAGTTAATCTCAATTACGATTAGTTTAAACGATGACTGAGGGCTGTTTCTTAAACCGTATAGTTGTGTGTCTGTGTATGTGTGTGTATACCTATACATACATACATACTCCATATAAATAAAAAAACATGGAAGAAGAACAAACACTCTGTTGTAAACTCAGCAAAACTAAGCTAAGCTAAAAAGGGCTCCACAACCACCCTATCCAACAACCAGGTTTTTAGCACCTTCTGAAATCTCCTAAGAGTGTGAAAAGTTGTTGTCGTGGGGAAAATAGGAGGAGGAAGGAGTATTAGGTACGTTCACTCCCTGGAGAAATTTATACAAATAATAATGGTGGGATAAAAAAGATCTAGAACGGAAAGAGAGAGAGGAGAGGGAGAGGGAGAGGGAGAGGGAGAGGAGAGGAGAGGAGAGGAGAGGAGAGGAGAGAGAAAAAGAAATTCCCAGAGCCCCAGCCTTGCCTTGCAGCTGGAAGGCTTTGTCCCAGTCTACAGCATCTTTGTTTTCTAGGAGTGCTCTGCAGGCATCTTCCTCCCGGTAGAAAGCAGCATGCAGGTTGGCATAATAATCCCTGTTGTCTTTCACCACCTGCAGGAAGTGGCACAGAGACACTCATGGCACCGGGAATACAGCAGACGGTGGAGACCACGCGGGGGAGCTGGTGAGGTCGGGATAACTTGGAAGAGGGATATGAAAGAAAGGAGGCAAGGAGAACTGCTAGAGCATCTCTGAGTGCCTCCTGAATGGCCAGAGATGCCAAGGTTTCCTGTGTGTTTCCCTCATGTTTGGTGCCACTCGGCTGTGGGAGGAACCCATCAGTGTTCGGTTGGAATTTCCTACCTCCTTTCGTGGTCGGGTAAGAACAGCTTTAAATTCTGGCCAAGAGTCCACCACGACTTCGTGCTGAGCTGGGTTTCCACGGTTGATGTGCATCACTGCCCCACAGACCTGACAATTAAAAAGGGGGTCAAGGAGACCTAGAGCAGAAGACCGGATAGTTCCATCCCAAAATGCTTGGTGGATCGAGTGCTGCTTTCTAATTTTGGAAATTAGGGAAGAGCCAGATGTTTACTACATCCACAGGGCAAAACAGCAAAGTCAAGTATGCTAATGCTAATGATTCAACTGAGAAGCACACAAGTAAATTCTGTGTATGATAATTTTCCAAAATGTCAT